GGATGTATATTAGGAAAAAATGGCTAACAAATAAGAAACACCCTAAACTAGATGACTCCTGAGGCCCCTCCAATCTCTCAAATACTATAATGTTGGAAGAGTCGAAGGTCAAAAATGTAGGAAAGTTTGAGTGCAGGGGAGGGCACCTGGTTGGGTGTAGGGCTCCAACCCACGTGGCTCGTTAAGGGGAGCAGGGCGGGGACGCCGGCAGGTCATTGCTGGGTGGACGGCGGAGTCTGTGGGTCCACGGTGCCACGGTCACTGAACAGGCTGTGCTGTGTGGGACCCTTGTAGGCCTCTCACTATGTGCTGTGTGCCTAGGCTGGCTCAGCACTGAGGTGGCCTGTGCTCACCATGCAGGCCCACCTCCAGCTTCTGGAGGCCGAAGGCGCCGAGCGGGGCGGTGAATGGCTTGGTGGGGCTGGGAGGCTGATTAGACCGTGCATGGCATTTAAGCCTGGCCTGTTTGGAGAGGGGGTTTCATCCTCAGAGGTCAACATCGAGGCCTCTGGAGCAGGCTGTCGCTGGCTGGCACCTGCCACCCATCCTCCTGGCTGCCTGTGTCTGTCCTCAGCCCAGCTGGGCAGTGGGTGGTTGGGCGGAGGATGAACTGTCCTTAGGGGAGGGTGGCAGGGCCCTTGGCCCGGGCAGGGCCAGGAGCTGGGTATAAATAGGCTTGGCGGTGCCCTCCCCCCTCCCCCTCACCAGCTGCCAGTGCCAGGCAGGTCCCCACCTCCCTTGGGAGCCCAGCCACTGTCTCGGGTCCTAAACGTAGGAACTTCCTCAGCAGAACTGAGGAATCTTGTCCTGTGTGTAGGTGGAACCTCCGGATGCCTGGAGGCCTGGGGAGTTTGGCTGAGGGGCTGCAAGACTGGGGGTGGATCAGACCGGCCTTTTGGGAAGGAGTCGTTCGTTTATTCCACCCCTGGAGAATCAGCGAGTACCTGGCATGGGCCTGGCCCTTTGGTCGGCCAAGTGTGCTTGTGTGGGTGCTTGTGTGTATGTGTGTGTGTGTGTGTGTGTGTGTGTCTGGTATGGTGAGAGGTGTTGGTGGGGGATGGGAAGAGATGCAACACAACCTCTATCCTCAGGGAACTCACACTAGCACAGCCAGATGGAATTGGAAACAAGTCAGTTCAGCCCTTTGAGATAAGTAGAGGAGAAACAGAGGGAGGAGAGCTTACTTCTGTCTGGGGGCCCACGAAATCCTTCAGAATGGAGGCGACCCAGGAACTGGAGGTTGAAGGATGGGTAAGATGTTTGCCGGGGACTTGGGCAGTGGAGAGGGCGATGGCGGGCTGCTCATCCGCCAGCAGGCCGCTCACACTTGGGTGCGAAGAACTGAGGGGCGTGAGGCTCGCTGTGTGGCCTCCTCCAGGGGAACATGCACTTCGCTGGTGGGGACAAAAGGAGCTGTGAGTCAAGTTAACGCATCTGTGGTGGTGGAATCTCAGACATGCGCATGTGTGGGTAGGAGGCTCAGGGGTCGGGTGGCAGGGCGTATTTGGGGGAGGGCAGCTCTCCTGCAGAAATCAATCCCATGGCCACAGCCCCATTAGCCCCAGCACCAGCCCTCAGAGCTAAACCCCCATCCCTAGAGGCCCTTGCTCATCACCGGCAGGATGTCCAGATCTGAGCTGAAATCCTTGAACGGAGCATCCTGGAAAGGTCCCTATGCCCTTGCCCTTTGGGTTAACTTTAACACTCGGCCAGATCACAGATGTCTTTTCAGCCACCCTGGTTAGGACTGAGCTTCCGGGAAAGGGGCCAGCTTTGCATCCTTCCCAGTGATGGATGGGAAGGGGCTCTGAAAATTCCGATGTGTTCTGTCAAGTCAGGGATGGGAGGGCTGAGAAATGAGGTTGATGACGTAGCAGGGGACAAAGTGCTGGGGACAGCCCCTAAACACATGGTAACCACCATGACCACCGTGACTTGAGGGCTTCCTATGTGCCAGGAGCTTTCTATCCTTTATCCCTCCCATTATGTCTATTTAATAGGTGAAGAAACTGAGGCACGAGGGGTTAAGTAAACTGCTTGAGATCAGCAGCTCGGAAACAGCAGAGCTGGATTTGAATGCAGGCAGCCTGGCTCCAGGTGCACGATGGACCTGGACAGCAGGAAGGAGACAGGGTTTGGTGGGAGGAGGGAAAAGAACTCATCGTCTCTGAGGCTGGGAGTTATTCTTGGAGGATATCATCCCTGGAGTCAGATAAACCTATGGTTGCCCAACTTCTCTGCCTCAGTTTCCTCATCTGTAAAACTGAGATGACCGTACCCACGTCATAGAGCTCTTGTTGAGGATTAAGTGACATGATATCTGTGAAGTGCCTGGCATATAAGTGCTAAATAAGTGGTTGTCGTGATGATCGCTAGTGTTGAATGCGACTGCAGAGGAAAGGAAATCTGCTTGGTCAGAGGAGAGATTGCAACTGTCCAGGAGGAAGGATTCACAGTCAAGGGCTTGGTGCCCCGGAGGAGAGCGCAGGGGACCGTGGCAGCTCCCTACTGGGAGATGTTTGGGGGACAGCTCTGGCCTTTGCAGCCAACCAAGCCCTGCCGGCCAGTGTGTAGGGCTTGGGCATTTTGCTGGGCTGGGTAGGCCCACCTGGGACCCACTGGGGTGGGGATGCTGGTGAAATGAGGGAGCAGGGAGCCGCTTGGAGGGCTGGGATCAGGGGCAGCCTCACTGAGTGGAAATGAAGAGCCAGCCGGGGATTCCCCACAGCCCCCCACCCCCACCCCGCCCCCTGCAGCGGCACCAGCTGCACCTGGCTCCGTGCATCTGGCTGTGTGGCCTTGAGCAAGCTGCTTCTCTCTGTGGGCCTCTGCTTTCTCATCTGTATAATGGGCTTTGTGCTCTCTAAAGGCATCTCTTGTAGGTTCTTATTCTGATCCAGCTTAGGGTGCCCAGGCCTGCAGAAGTGCCAACGGGTGTAGGGCAAAGGCCACTAGAGGGCAAGGAAGGAGGAGAGGGACAGAGGATGTGGAAGGAGTAAAGGAAGGAGCCCTGGGGCCCTGGTGTGGTTGGTAAGCAGACCAGTAAATGGGGGACGACATGGGACAGAGCCCCCTGGTGCCAGAGGTGATCGTGACACAGGCCTGACCAGGTTGGAGTTTGCAGTGGGTCCAGGAGGCCAGGTTGAAGGAGCGCGTGGGCTCCTCAAGGCCAGTCCATCCCTCTAGGGACAGGCATGGATGGAGCTGCCTTTTGGGGGGAGACCGGGGAGGGCTCTGGCCGAAGGGGAGGGACACGGAGGCTGGGCAGTTGGTGCCAGGTCTCCCCATGATGCTCTGGGACACTCAGGGACCAGGCTGGGTATGAGGAGGTGGCAAAGAATCGCCATATTCCTTTAGAGGGGTCCTCAAGGCCCACGCTCAGAACCAAACCCAGGTGAGGCCATGGGGGTAGCAGCGACCTCCATCTGGCCCCAGCTCCCCTCTCCAGCTGTCTGCATATAGGGCTTTGGGGCCTAAACGTCAGAGGAGGGAGTGGGAAAGGCATGGCCTTCTTCCCTTCCTCCCATGATGGCCCAATGCTGAGTCATCTGCACTGAACCCTGGCTCGGTTTCTCTATCCGGTGGTTGCAGTGCCACTGGGGCAGCTGCAGGGCAGGCCTGGATGTGCTGGTTAAGAGCACGTGGAGAGGCAGCCTGAGCTGGGGCGGGAGGCTCAACTCTGCCGCTGCACAGTCCTGCAGACTTGGGCAGTTTACTAAGCTCCCTGGCCTCAGTTTCCTTGTCTATGAAATGGGATGTTGACGATGATAATGAAGTTCCTACTTCACAGGCTTGCTGTGAGGTTTCCATAAGGTAAGACATGAGCACTCAGAACCGGTCCAGCACATAATAAATGATAGGTGTTTGATTATCATTATTATCACAATAACCAGTTTATAACTGTAAACAGGGCAGGGGCAGGAGAGGGCAACCTGCAAAGCCCTGTCAGATGCTGTGTGTGTCTTGGTGTGCATCAGGGGGCTCTGGGCTGACCTGCTCTATCACTCAGGTCCAGTCTTAAGGCCCAGGGTGCAGACGGGCCAGGCCTGCAGTCACTCCCACCCCTCAGGACCCAGGCAGGCACCGCAGAAGGCAGGGTGGTCCGTGGTTAGCCCCACCTAGACTGACAGACTACTGACTGAAAAATGAGGGACATTAGAGTGACGTGACGTGATTTGATCAAGGTCACTTGAATTGGATGGGGGGAGTACGATCTGAGGTCTTCTCCCTCCTGACCCTGAGCTAGACTTTCATGAAACAAAGCCAAGCTCCAATCTCTGGTCAGAAAAGAGATGGTGCTCCAGAAACTTCTAGGGAGCTGCAAAGATGGTCACAGAGGCCCTGGCGGACAAAGACCTGGGGAGAGACACTGGGAGGCTCTGGGCTGGGCAGGCATCGTCCCAGGGAAGAGGCTGAGAGGCATTGCCACAGGTGGTATGTGTGTATGTGTATGTATGAGTGCAAGCTTGCACACGTGCAAGCTCCCTGCTAGGACTGAGGCTTCTCTACTTCCTGCTTTCTCTGAGATGTGATGGGGGTCAAGCCAGCTCCTGCCATCTTCGTCTCCATAGATTTTGTTTCCTTCTGATGGATCATTGAAAGTCTCCATGTGGCCCTAGAAACTGAAACTCCCAACCTGACCTCTCCCCATCAGGGAAACTGGCCCAGAGCCTGGGAGGGACTTGACCTGGGCCTCTAATACCATCTTTCCATCCAGGGTTCTTTTCATAGAATTGCATTGCTCCCGGGTGCCCCTGCAAACAGGAAATGCCCATGGCAGAGGGCCGACTCCCTGGATCAGAGCTCTGCTCTTCAAGGGACAGTATACACGCCAGGTCGAAGGTAGTGCATTCAGATGCCAGGTTTCTCAGGGCCATGGCTTCAGGCTCACAGGCCCTCCATGGCTCCACCTACCCTGAGTACTCACGGAGAAGAAACGATGCCCACAGTGGGCCGCGTGCTTTGTGCCTGCAGTGCCACTGCCTTCTGTCTGCCTGCAGGTCCCTGGCCCTGGGCCAGCAGTACACATCCCTGGGCTCACAGCCCCTGCTCTGCGGCTCCATCCCAGGCCTGGTCCCCAAGCAACTGCGCTTCTGCCGCAATTACATCGAAATCATGCCCAGCGTGGCCGAGGGCGTGAAGCTGGGCATCCAGGAGTGCCAGCACCAGTTCCGGGGCCGCCGCTGGAACTGCACCACCATCGACGACAGCCTGGCCATCTTCGGGCCCGTCCTCGACAAAGGTACCGTCTCTGGGTGGGTAGGAGGTGCGCGAGGAGGTGGGGGGAGGGCATCAGGGCACAGTCACTCTTCCACATCAGGGCGTCTCAGCTCTGAGCCCAGGGTCACCAGGGGAGGGCGATAGAGCTGGTCACGACCCGCGGCCTCCACAGAAAGTGGGCCAGGTCCCTCTCTGGCCTGACCCAGGCTGTTGTCGGTGGTTGCCACACCTTCCCAGGTGCTGCTGGGGGCTGGGCAGCCTTGAGATCCCATCCCGAGATCCTAGGGTAGGCTAGGAGGCTGCAGCCTTCCTTTCCTCCTGGCCGGCACAGTGGGTGGCCCCAGGCTTTGATGTGGACTTTTGTGACGTTTTCCCAATGCTGTGTTAAGTGCTATGTAAATCTAGTTTTGGGGTGGGGTGAGAGCATTGTCCCCCTTAGGTCCCTCCCATGTAGAAAATTCTGGAGTTGAGGAAGCTGCCTCGTGCTGGTGGCACTGCATTGCCCCCAGGTGCTTCCGTGGGAAGCTTCAACTGGTCCCCATGCCCCTGATAGCTGGATATGCCCACGGATTGTGGTGGGGCTAGAGGGTGTGCTGGCTTTTGGGTAACTTGCATCTTGCAACCTGGGAGTCTCATTGGCTGTGTCGCAAATGAATGGGATTCACATTACTTGACTTTGAACATGAAGGCACTGGGAGAGAGGCATGAGAGGCACAACTGCTCCCAAGAAGGGGATTTTGGGGCTGGTGAGTTCTGGGCTGAAGTTGGGCTACTCTTTGAGCAATCGCAGTGTCTAGGAATGTAATGACCCAGCTGGCCTCCCGGGAGCTACCATTCCTTTTCCTCAGCAACTTGAACACTCCTCCGGCCACCGCCAGGGCTTTGGCACCCAAACAGGTGAACCGGGCCCTCCCTCCTTTTAGAAGAGTTGCATTTACAGCCAGAAAGAAAAGGGATCTGAGAACCAGCTGGACCTGGGGAAGGGTTGCGGGGGAGTGGCAGGGAATGAGTGGGGCGAAGCCGACCCCCCATTTTAGAGTGGAGTCCCCCTTTACCTGTGTCTCAGGTGCACCTTGTAAGTCCGACCTACAGGCTATTGTCATGGGACAGAAGGGCAATTAGCGAATCAATGGATGATGATTCTGCTTACGCTTCTATTACCAAAGCTAATTATTCCTTGTTTACATAAAAGGTTTGGCCTCCAATTGGGGCCAAGTGGCGGTGGTTTGCATTTCAAACCTGATCTTGCCGGCGTGTCAGTCTCCTCGCCTTCCGGTGCCCCACCTCGGGCCAGGTAGTGCTTAATCAAACAGCCTAGCGTCTAGACGCGCTCCCCAAAGCAAGACTCACCTTCTGATTGCTCTTCCCCGCGCGGGACGTTAGCCTGTGAAAACCGGGTCTCTGAGCTTATTATCCCTTCACGTCTGTGTTTAACGTTTTAAATCACCGTTGTAGGTTCTAGGACTTGCCTACATCTCGAAATTGCAAGAGAGCAGTTTTGTGTGGGGGGAGGGAGGGAAGGTGTCAGAGACACTGGGAATCTGAGGGAAGCTCTGCGGTCTCCGGGAGGAAGGCCCCGCATGCACGCACGCCCCAGCGCCCAGAGCCCGGCGGGAACGGGTTCGAACGCAGCTCTAGGCTCCACGCTCGGGCCCCGCTTCTGGCGAGTCCCGCACCCCTGCCGTGTGGGCCGCCAGGGTAGACCTCTGCCCACGGTTTTGAGACCCAGGGTGGCAGGGAGGCGGTCTGCTCCGGGGCGCGCATCTTCCGCGGACGCCGGGGACCGACTCCCCGGGGCTGGCCCGCCCGGAGTAGAGGCCGGGGCGGGGCTGCACCCGGGCGCGGGGGGCGCAGGGGTCAGCGGCCGGAAGGCGCAAGGCTGCGACGGCGGGGTGCGGGCGGCGGGGGATCGCGGTCCCCGGGCGGGGCGGGCGGCCCGGAGGGGCTTAGGCGGCTTGAAAAGGGGCCCGAGAGCCGCCCCCCACCGCGCGGCCCATCCCCGCGCCCGCTGCGGCCGCCGAGCCATTCACACGCCCTCTGGCCATTCGGCGCGGCGCGGGGGCGGGGGGCGCCGCTTCAATGGGGATTTCGCGGGCCGGCGCCGGGGCCGGGGGCGCGGCCCGGCCGCGGGAGCCGCCCGTTGCTACGCGGTGGCGGCCGGCCCGGCGGCCCGGGCCCGGCGGCCGCATTATGCGGGTAATGCGGTGTGACACCGCGCGAACAAAGGCGGATTGAGCGGCCCAGCGGGCCCCGCCGGACGGGGACCAGCACAGCAGGGCTGTCAGCGCCGCTCCCAGGCTAATCCCCGCCCCGCCCCCGCCGCCCCCGCGTCCCCGGGGCTGGGAACCGAGCGCGGCCCGGGGCCCGGGCGCCGCCGCCGCCGCGAGAGGCCGCGGGCCGGCCGGAAGCGCGGCGCTCGCCCTCGGCGCCCCCGGCCCCCGGGTCGCTGAGGGGTGGGCAGCCGGGGCCGGGGTCGGAGCAAGGGCGCAGCGCCTCAGGCCTCGGCCGCGCCGTGTCGCAGTCGGCGCTGGCTGCGCGGGTCCACTGCCCAGGCGGGGACCGCTCCCACTCCCCGCCGGCCTGCTCGGGAAGGGGGACGCACCCTCCTCTGCAGGTGGCCCACGAGGGCCCCGGGGCCTCTGAAGAGATGGCAGTGGCCACGAGGGGTTACCAGGCTCCCTCGTCCGCCGAGCTGCCCTCAGCGCTCAGGACCAGAGCCACAGCCCAGGAAAGGAGGCATCCAGGCCAGCAGCCCGGCGTTTTGCAACCTGCCTGGCCTTGGGCAGGTCACCTCCCTGCTCTGGGTTCCTCACCAGTAAGGAGAGAGATGGTTGGACTGCAGGTCTTTCAGGCCTTTGCCTCCCTAGTTGTCAATGTCTGTATCTGCTAAATGGGCCTGTAATAAGACTTTCTGCCTCACAGGGGTGAGAGGATTAAATGGGATAAAGCACACGAAGGGCAGAATCTGGTGCAAACCCAACACTCAAAGGTAGTTATCATTATAATGATGTCGGCGGGGTGGTGGGGCACCCTGAGAATCTCTTCTTTCTCTTTGCTGGACCCTGGGGCAGAAGCAGGGAAGTGCCCTGTGTCCCTCCATCCTCCCGGGAGGGGCTTGGCCTTCTCAGTCCAAAACCTTGGCTTTGTCTGGGTGGAGGACAGGAGAATGGAAGGGGGAAGCTGACATGCTGACCACTGCACTCCTGGTCAGGAACTCTGGTGGCAGAGGGAAGTTGTACCCACCTGCCAGAGTTGTCTTTCCACCCCTGTTTCTAACAGGCTCCACTCTGCCAGCTGTTAAAGCCCTGGGTTAATCAGCAGCTCTGGGCCTCAGTTTGTTCATCTGTAAACTGGGGATACCCACTAGGGGCTAGGCCAACCAAAGAGGAAAAGGCACTTCTTCTCCCTTGGGGCTGCAGAGCCCCTTTTCGCAGCTGGGGAGGTCAGGGCAGGGCAGCCGCGTCCCAGGGCCCGGCCTGAGCAGCGCCTCCCAATGCCTTCCCCACAGCCACCCGCGAATCGGCCTTCGTGCACGCCATCGCCTCAGCCGGCGTGGCCTTCGCCGTCACACGCTCCTGTGCCGAGGGCACCTCCACCATCTGTGGCTGCGACTCGCATCATAAAGGACCGCCCGGGGAAGGCTGGAAGTGGGGAGGCTGCAGCGAGGACGCCGACTTCGGGGTGCTTGTGTCCCGGGAGTTCGCGGACGCACGTGAGAACAGGCCGGACGCGCGCTCGGCCATGAACAAGCACAACAACGAGGCTGGCCGCACGGTGAGCCCTGGCCGCCCTCGCCCCAGCCCTGCGCAAGACCCCTTTTCCGGACCTGTCCCTGCCCCTCCCTGTGGCCCTTGTGCATTCCTGGCTCCCTGCTCTCCTCTTTCCCCCTCCTTTCTCCTCGGACTGCTCCGGGTCCCCACCCCCACCCACCCTGGGGATGCGGCAGCCCGCGAGCGCAGGTACCAGCCAGCCCATCCGGTGCACTTCAGCTGCCTGTGTAGGGCTGTGAGACCCATGGACCTGGCTTTGAATTCAGCCTCCATCCTTTCTTATGGTTGCTTGACCTAGGGCTAGTCACTTAAGCTCCCAGCCAGTTTCCCTATCTGTTACACGGGAATAACAATCCTTTCCTAGGGCTTTGAGAAGTGGATGTGATTTCTGCCAGTGCTTGGGGTGTGAAGGGGAGGGAAACAAGGTCATCATTCTTTAGGTCTGAGCCTCAGTCCCCAGTCAGTTCTCACCCTGGCATAGTGTAGGAATAGAGAAGGCTTCAGCGATGGGGGTGGGTGGGTCAGAGTGGGAGGGCCTGGGTGTGCTCCCAGGTGGGGTCAGTCTGGGGACCAGCTGCTACTCGTACTCTTTCTAGACCATCCTGGACCACATGCACCTCAAGTGCAAGTGCCACGGGCTGTCGGGCAGCTGTGAGGTGAAGACCTGCTGGTGGGCCCAGCCCGACTTCCGCGCCATCGGGGACTTCCTCAAGGACAAGTACGACAGCGCCTCGGAGATGGTGGTGGAGAAGCACCGGGAGTCCCGTGGCTGGGTGGAGACCCTCCGCGCCAAGTACGCGCTCTTCAAGCCGCCCACTGAGAGGGACCTGGTCTACTACGAGAACTCCCCCAACTTTTGCGAGCCCAACCCTGAGACGGGCTCCTTCGGCACCAGGGACCGGACTTGCAATGTCACCTCCCACGGCATCGATGGCTGCGACCTGCTCTGCTGCGGCCGTGGCCACAACACAAGGACGGAGAAGCGGAAGGAGAAATGCCACTGCATCTTCCACTGGTGCTGCTACGTGAGCTGCCAGGAGTGTATCCGCATCTACGATGTGCACACCTGCAAGTAGGGAGCCAGGTAGGGTGGCCCGGTGGGGAGGCTGGGGTGCCTTGGTGCAGGGCCCTGGGTTTGGCTGTCTCCTCTTCTTGGCAACCCTGTTCTGTTTCTGGGCGGTCCAGGACACGTTTCCAAAGCCAAGGTAGGAAGCCAGGATTTCCCAAGCTTCAGTGGGAACGGTCCTTGGGCAGTGTCTTGGTGGATTACACAAAGCACAGATAATAACCAAGTGTGTACACACGAGGCTGCAATTGATTAAATTTGTGTACAAGTTAGTAAGTAAATTAGGAGCCAGGTCAATTTTTCGCACAGCCACTAGCTATCATTATTGAACATCTGTGGAGCCAGAGGAGGGACTGTGGGGTTGGAGGCTGGGACGCCCGACTTCTGGTCTTGACTGTGCTCCTAACTTCCTGTTCTTTCACTTCTTTGGGCCTCAGGTTCTTACTGTAAAGTGAGGGGGTTAAAATACTTGAAACAGCAGGCCAAAAAGTCTCTTGTACCCCTGAGGCAGAGTCGTTTTGCATCCACCTTGAACTTAGAGGGCAGGTTTTTGTGCAAGCGTTAACTCCTACCACCCTCAAGGAGGTGGGCGGGAGGAAGCAGTGTATAAGCCCATATCCCGGCAGATCTGAAGCTTGGGTGGAGCGGGGCACACTCTCACCGTGTTTATGGACGGTGATGGGGAGGAGGAAGGAGTCAAGCTCAGAGTGACGGTGGTGAGTAATCAAGGGATCAAAGGCTGGTGGATTAGGCTCCCACGCTTCCCAGAGGTGGCCTGCGTGGGAGACACTCTTGCCCGGCCCTCGGGTCCATAGGTCCCCAGGACAGGTCAAGATTGGCGTGTGGTGGTCCTGGTCTTGGAGGGTCTCTAAGGCCCAAGGGGGAGGGTTTCTCCCCTTTCTCTGCCCTGAGAAGGGGCCTAATCTACAGGGGTCCGAGCCCTGGTCCAGCTTCCACCACTCGCCCACCTCGTGACCCAAACAAGAACATCTCCTCATCTGTCATCCTCCCCAGAGGTGCTGTGAGGAACAAAGTGAAGGACACTGGAGACAGTGCTTGAACTGTTGTGAAGGACTCCCCTGCCTGGGTCATCGCTGCCTGGGGCTGTGTCAGCGAGGGCACCCCACTGGGCGATGCGGTCCCACACAGGGCGGGACTGGGGGAGGGGTCGGACTTCTGTGCTGCATGGAGGGACCTCACGTGCTGGGGAGAGCTCTGCTGGAGGGGTGGCTCAGCCAGTCTGGGAAGCCCCTCTGTGTAGCTCAAGTTCCGTCCTGGCAGGGGCAGAGTCTGGGAAGACAGCAGGAGGCACCACTTTTCTTGGTGTCTGAATAAAAGCAGTGTGGGGAGTGGAAAGAGGACAGAGGCAGTTCTACCTCCACCACTTCCCAGCTGGAAGCCCAGTTTCCTCATCTGTACAGCAGTGGTGATGATGTGGGCCTAGCAGAATTTTCCTGCGGTTCAAGCAAGCCAGCAGATGTGAATGCTCGTCTGAATAGGGTGCTAATAGAAAGTGATAAATGCCATGAGAGCCAGGACGTGAGGGCAGTCATCGTGCAAGGAAACGGTGTCATCACTTGGGCACTTTCATCTACTGCTTTTCAAAACGATGGAAGAGAAGTCAGTGAATAAGAGAGAACGCCCAGGCTCCCTGTGGCTTGTCAGGTCGAAGGAATGTTTGAAACCTGCAGTGCTTCCTTCCTCTGATGTCCACTCTGGCCAGAGGCAACAGTGTCCCCGCTGTCAAGCAGGACACGGCTCTGGCCATTCTGAGAGGAGGCTGGGGGGAAATCGGAATTTCAGAACACTAGCCCTGGAGGGGGCACAGAGGGCCGTTTGTCTAGCCTGCCCATTGCACAGATAAGGACACTGAGCCCAGGGCTCTGCCTCCAGAAAGGCCCCATATGTGGGTCCTGCAGAGGCCACAGCGGCAGCAGCCCAGGCCCCGGCAGTGGCTCTACGGGGCTCCAGGGTGTCACAGCTCTGTTCCAGCACCTCCCCTCCCCTCCCCTCCCCTCAGTGAGCAGCCAAGAGAAGCCATCTGCCAAGTGGGAAGGAGATGCTGGGTTTGCCCTCAGTGTCCATAAAAATCCCCCGCCTGCGATCTGATACTGATCGTAAGAAGAGTCAACACTCTCCATCAGCCTTCTGTTCCCCGTTTCTGAAACAGAATGGCATTGCCCCCAGTCTTATGGAAAGTACTACGTGGATGTGGTTTCAACATGCCACACCCAGGTAGATGGTGGCCCCCCGGGCCCTCATATATGGATACTCTGGAGTCCTTGCTCTGGGACAAGTGGAGAATTGTCCCCCAGTGTGGTGCCTTTCTGACAAACACTCAGTTTGGTGAGTGACTTGGGGCAAGTTGTTTTGCCTCCGAGCCCCAGTTCCCTCACCTGTGGACTAGAGGTCATCCATACAAACAGCCCTGGCACAGGGTCCAAGGAAGCAGCAAAAGATTCCGAGGCTGAGTGGAGCTGACCTCCAAGGGCGACTTTCCCCCAGGCCTTCTGCTGGTCTGGAGCCACAGGCTGAGACCAGCTACCTTTCCTGTCCTTTCATCCACACCGACACTCTGCAGGCAAGATGAGAACTTTCGAGACAGGCTGGCAGGGACTTCAGGGAACAGAGCCTGCAGCCTTTCTCTTGGCTGCACTGTCTCCAGTGCAGGTGGGAGAGAGAAGGGCGCCCCAGAGCAGGACGTGTACCCTCCACACTCTCAGGGAGGAGCCCCAGTCAAGATGCTTTATGCCACAGGAAGGCCAGAGTCCTGGGCTTTCCTTGTGGGGAAACCTCTTTCCATTGCTTGTAGATTTTGTCCAGTGTCTCAGGCTAACCACTGATTTCCTACCTTACGAGTTCCAGGCTTATTCCTTGTTATCCAGATTGTGTGAGCACAGTAAGCTGGAAAGGGCTCTGCGTGAGAGTCAGGTGGCCTGGCTGACCCCAAGTCCTGGGTCTGTCACTGTCTTGCTGCGAGACTTTGGACGTGTCCTTTTAATCTTGCTGAGTCTGTTTCTCTCCATGTAAAAGTCTACTGGCCAAGGAGTTGGGGGTTGATTGGGAACACCCGTCAGAGCCCTTTGGGCTTAAATCCTTTGTGACATGTAAATTCAAATACAAATGAAGAAGATGTACACATCGGTGCTCCTATGAGAAGGAATTATTCATAATGTAATAGACTGTCTTCTGTTTGGAGAGCCTGATACAGAAACACAGTGTACAGGAGTCTATGAAGTTGGGAATTGGGCCCTAGATCTGCAAGGTTTCTCCCAGTCTCTATGCAAGACAGGTTCCTATATCAGTCTAGTTACCTGCTACTGGGCTTCCTGTTGCCCAAGCCCCAGCTAGAGGGTGGAGAGGTAGGATGTGGATCCCAGCGTGTAGACGCTGAAGCTCTACTGTTCTGTAGCTCACACGCCCTTCCTCAGTGGTAGACCCCAGGTAGCGGAGGGAGCATGGAACAGCCACTGGAGTCTCCTGTTACCTCCAAGTTCAAGAGAAATGCTGAGACACCTGATCAGCAGCCTCTGAGCTTTGCACCCTGTGGGTGGTCTCTCTGGGAAAATAATCATGTTCCTAATTCTTCCTCTTTACTTTCCAAAGGGCACTGGGAACGGGTGAAGTGTGTGGCTGGGCAGATTCACCGAAGTCCTATGGGAAGCGGGACCCAGAGCCGGGCTCAGCCCTCAGCATCAGACAGCAAGGAATCCGGACTGTTGCCAGATGCACGTGTGGTAAATTACCTGGATCCAACCCGCCCGCTGCCTGGGAGGCCTCCCTCCCTTCTCTCTCATCTTAAGTTTCTCACCCTACTCTGGATGGTGTGTGGTTTTTAAAGAAGGGGCTTTCTTTTCAGTTCTCTGGGGTCTGATAGGAACAGACCCGAGGCTTATCTTTGCACATGTTAAAGAAAATAAAAATGGAAAAAAATAACCCCCCACAGAAAACCACTTCTACTCCAACAGAACAGGCTGGGCTCATGTGAGCGCTCTGCCTGGTGGTAAAGACATCAACGTGGGCAAGATTCTGTTTCCCAGCTGCTGCTTCTGGTGACATTCCAAGATGCCTGCGAGGTGAGAGTTAGGAAGTAGGACAAAGCCCTGCAGTCTCCTTTTCTCTGTCTACTCCCATTCAAATCTGATAGACTTTCACATTCTGATAAAAGCCATAGGTTTAGCTGGGATCAAGTGGTAGGGAGGCCCAAGGCAATCGTTAGAGTCAGGTTTTGAGTTTGAAGAACCGGGAGTTCCAGGCAGCCTGGTAAAGCTGTTTGAAGAGCAGCGGTATGTTCTTCTCAGTCCCATTTTCTCTGTAACCCTGTTCTGCACGAGAGGCTCTTGGGAACTGCAGTCAGATCTCAAAAATCTTTTTCTACCATTCTGCAGTTTCCACCATTAACGCAGTACTTTTTTTTTTTTTTTTTTTCTTCTGTAGTGAACGTTGTAAATAGGTTATGTGTGGGGGGCAAGCCTCCTCTAGCTCCAATGGCTTCCTGAAGAAAGTGGTATCTTTAAAGGGGCCATTCTGTCCCTCCCAGCCCTGCTCACCTGCAGATTCTCCATTAAAAACAAACTCCAGGTTGAGCAGTTGGACTGTAGGTCACCTTAGTATAAATTAGACAAAGGGTCAGAGGGAGAGTAGCAATATATTCCTGAAGTTCCAATGTTGTGGCTAGTAGATGGGGAGGATACCGATGATTCCTTCGTTTCCTCTCCTATAAGGACACGTCGTCCTGCATCCTTGTCTTTCGTTGGCCTGCGTGAGGAAACAGAAATGCAGAGTTCCTTCACACAGGTCTTCCGGCCTCACCTGTATGCTGACAGCATCAATCCGTGCAGACACCAAGGATCAGCATTAGGTGTTCAAAGTGGGGCAAGCCTTCACTTGCTCCCTTGGGTAAAGCGTCTCACAGCTGAGTTCTCCTTGATCCACACGGGTCCTCTGGAGTGTCCTAGAGGAAGCGAGCACAGTGGAGGCAAACGGGTCTGATGGTACGAGTCAGTGCAACAGCTCTGCCTTAAGAGTCAGAAAGAAGAGATGCAGCAGGGGCACGGTACAGAACACAGTGATTTCTTCCTCTTCCCCCTTCTCTCTTTGCCTAACACTGACCTAAGGTACCGGGTCAAGCCATCTTCCTATGTGCTCAGGCAGGTTCGCCAAGACGATTGTCTAGAAGCCGTGCCTGCACTCTTGAATCTGCTGGCAGTGAGCCCTGCTAAAAAGATACACATCCCATCCCCTCTAGAGAGTCTGAAATGCCCCTCCCCATCTCAGACTGAAGTTTTAAATCATGTCAACCAGATAATGCTTGCTTTATGTGAGAATTCTTTCAGCAGAATGGATACAAATTTTCAAAACAGTCTTTTCATATCTATGTATTCTATATTAAAAGTGATAAAGTCATGTTTCTGGGGCGTATTCAAGTAGCTGACAAGTAATTATTTAATAATAGTACATTGAGTGCATTGTAATTATTCTCGCCATAGTCAGGTAATAGTATCCAACAGAAATTTCCTACCAACCTGCTGTATCCAAAGTTTTGTAAAAAGTTGTAGAAGTTGTTGATCTTTTTGATTTTATATTCAAAAAGTCTCTTTTTATAAATATTATTTATTATACAATGTATATACCTTTGAGTTAACTAAGATTATATATTATATAAATATATATATATTTGGAGAAAATATATTTCATCATGCAGTTTTTTTCTGTTAAGTCATTAAAGAGAAGGTAAACAAACTTAAAACGGATACATTGTACAATGTGTGGAGTTTCCAGATTAATGCTTAGGAGGTCAAGAATATGAGATTCTGAATGTGGTTGCCTCCACTTTCACTCTGAAATTAGTGGCCCAAATTAAGGTAATTTCCTTTGTTTTCTAAGCAAGATCATCTGAGATGTCGTGGACAGTAAGTCTTATCTACTAAAGGACTTTCTTACAGGCTTACTTTGTTCTAAATCAGCTTCTAACAGAGAATTTCCAGTTTCAGAAGTCAGCAATTGGGGCAGTAATTCACCTCATACACCCCAGCACTTCCAATGCACAAATTAATGTCACAAACACTGAGATACGGCTCGAGGCCCACAGACCATGGGGTTGGCCACCGACTTAATCCCTTTCTAACCCATGTTTTCAACTCCATTTATTGGGAAAAAAGGATTTGCTTTACTGAAAATGAAACTTGAGTGGACATGGCTCTCCCCTGCTAGTTCCACTTGAGAGCTAAGCTTCGGAAAGGGTAGGTTGGCGGGAAAGAAGAAATGGTGTGTCCTGGGCTCTGGAACAGGTGCCGTTTGAGGGTTTAGATCTGTTTGGGCAGAACAGACCCACTAGTGGGCATGCTCTTGGGAAGGCCATTCTCTCCTTGGACTGAGGCTCCTAAAGGACTCACCTGAAGCTAATAGGTAACGCCTTTTTATCAATGAGATGCTGTAACTCAGTCTTATGACCACAGACAATCCTTTGGTCTTCAGACCTACCCATAAAATGTCACCTTCGGTTTACTTGGCACAGCAAAAATGTTTTCTCTTCCTTTTTCTTTCTCCTGATTTACCTTTAGTAGGAGTAAGTAAATTCATCTCACTTCACAGAAAAAACAACAGAAAAATAGAGGGGTCTGCCTTGTGCGGTGGAGATGGGCTGCCTGTGCTCTAACCTTAGATTAGGGATGGCTACTAGAAGTTCATGAACTTTCTTTTGCCCGTGACATGTCTTTATTTAGTACCTGAAAAGCTCAAATCACAAAAATGGTGGTTTCGGCTGTGCAATGAATCGGACGTGGAAAGGATACAGATCTCCCCGTCTCATGGAGCTGCTCATCTTTGTATTTCACTTTCACATGAAGCTAATACTCATCTACCCCAGTATTTTGGGCACTTTTTTTTTAACCTATAAAATCGCCAAATATTTAAATGGCCCCTGGTCACACTCACCAAGGCCATTGGTAATCCTTTCTATGATTGATTAATTATATTCTATGATGATTTAAGAGAATACAGTTTATAGCAGTGCTTGAACATTTAGTTTCTCCATAAGCATGAATACTATTAAACATCTAAAAACAAGAGGAAGATCCGCCCCCCCAAAAAAATCCAAAAGAAAGAAAAGATAATATAACGGGAATCATTATTATCTTTCAAAGCAGTATTATTTTATGAAGAAAGAAGGGAAGGGAAGTGTGTGAGAGAGTTCAAGGATGAGGGGATGAGGTACAAATAAAGGCAGAAGGAAGAGGCAAGGCTAGGGGAACGATGATGGTGAGATTATTCTAGGTGCGTCAGATGGTGGTGTCCAACGAGCCAACGGTGTATCCACACCGGCCCTGGGGATGTGGATGTGTGCTAATGTGCGTGGCTCACCTACACGCACACACAAGTGAAGTTATTTCAGCAAAATTATGGCTGCTATAGTGTCATCATTTCTCCTAGCTCAACAGAGGACTTTCTAGGAGGCAAAAAATGATCTTACCATTAATCTTAAACTCCCAAAATGGAGTGACAGAGTCAGCTGTGTGGAGACTGTACGCTGGGAAAATTTCAAACCTGAATCCCCCTTGCAAACTGTCTCCGCTCCTTGGGATTCTTGCCGATCGCAGGCGCCATCTCCTGCATCTTAATGTCACGGTGTCCACACAGCACACGCCCTCTGTGGGCCCAGCTCCAAGACCCAGTCTCGGCACTGCTTGCCAGCTGAAGAGAAACTTTGGATCATTTTGCAATAACTTCTGAAATCTACATGCTTTTTTGAACTCTCGTACACACCTTTCCCAGTCACTTCTTTGAAGAGGCTTATGGATCACGTTGCCAGGCAAGGAAGATGAAATCTTGCTTTTACCTTCTGTGTTTGGGCTGGGTCGGTTGTTTATAGCTGACTCAGTGCTTCAGCAAGTCTGTTTACCAGGATTTGATTATTATACACACTTAAATCTACTTCAAGACTTGTTGCTGAAACTTAGGGAGGCTGTTCACTGTAGTTTTTAGGATATGAAAAAGCCTTAAAGTAAAACAAATTTCAGGTTTGACCGTCATTATCCAGGTTTTCTGTGTTACATTAAAAAAAAAAAAAAGGTGTTTCAGGGAAGTTGTACAACTTTAGAAAGGATAAAAGAACCTCCTTTTCTGAGGTTTTAATTACATCTTCTGATAAAAAGTACCCTGTTAACAGTTCATCCATAGAAGAAGCAAGCTAAGGCAGCAGATGGTGCAGTCTCCTTTGCTTTATCACCAGGCCGTGCTGTAATCGCGAACGCTCTCTGCCCAGCGTCGGCTTTGAAGAGTTCCGGGATGGCTTTAAGACATTCTCAAGGCTACGCAGGGACCAGGTGACCTCAGGGTCCTCCTCCCAGGAGGGTGTGGACAGCTCCTGGGGAGCTGACCCTGCTGTTGGAGGAGCCCTGAGGTTGACCTCTCCCCACAAGCCTTGCTGATTTTCTGGGTGGCTTTTACTCCTAACCCGAGCCACCTCTAAGGATCAGGGTTTAGGCTAAAAGATCTGATAGCTCAGAAACATGCAAAATGGATGAAGGATACCAAAACGAACCATGTGAAGAAATCTCACTGAGAGTGTTTGAGTCCCTTGGCTTGTACGTATCATAGGAAGGAGTAATTCTACTTGAGAAACAATTTTCCCTTCCGGTTTATTACTAACCCGCTTATGGCGTTGGTACACTTCAGTTTTTTAGTAAAGGGAAATAAGTAAAAGAGGTATAAAGATTCTTATTGTGCACTAACTTTATAAAATATGCTATCAATCTGTATTTCCTTTATTTATTTTTACATCTTTATTGGAGTATAATTGCTTTACAGTGGTGTGTTAGTTTCTGCTTTATAACAAAGTGAATCAGTTATACATGTACATATGTTCCCATATCTCTTCCCTCTTGCGTCTCCCTCCCTCCCACCCTCCCTATCCCACCCTTCTAGGTGGTCACAAAGCACCGAGCTGATCTCCCTGTGCCATGCGGCTACTTCCCACTAGCTATCTATTTTACATTTGGTAGTGTATATATGTCCATGCCACTCTCTCACTTTGTCACAGCTTACCCTTCCCCCTCCCCATGTCCTCAAGTCCATTCTCTAGTAGGTCTGTGTATTTCCTTTAAATTAACTATATTTTCTGAATGATTAAAATCAGAGATTTTAAAATAAAAATCATCCATCTCCTTACACTAGTTAAAACAAGGAGGGGCTTTTCTGATCCCTTTCTTCATACACTCATATCAGTTATGTATATTGTTTTGTACAAAATATTGGTCTACAGAATGTTTTCAAGTATATGTACTCTTTATTGCATTCCTTCATTTGCATTAAACAATATTTATATTTTTTCAATATAGTTTTGGACAAAACACAAAGACATTAACCGTATTTAACAAGACACATAAGTTAATACAATGTGTGCTGCTTTCACGGGAAGAGAAAAAAGAGGCAAGATCTAAAACAGATAAGGGAATCCAGGATACTGGCCACCAGCAATCACAGAATTTCACAATACAATCCACCTAAAAAAAACACAACAAAACAGCCACAAAATAAGCTAGGGATGAAAACCCAAAAGAAAGTAGTTGTTACATACAAGTCTACCGAAAATATACAGAGAGCAAGATCTGGAGATAATTTACCTTCTACCATGGGGACAGATGACATAGCTACACCCAAGTACCTGATGCGTGACAAGCCTTACAGGTGGTGTTAGGTACCTTCAGGTGGCTCCTGATTGCTTGTCCTAGAAGTTTAAGCAGCAACGGAGAGAGAGTGGCATGTTCCACAAGTCTCCTCACCAAACATGACGACCTGATTAAATTTCTTCAGACTCGGCTCACACCACCGTTCTCCTTCTCTTTGGAAGAAGTGCGTAGCGGGGAAAGGAAATGTCTTCAGTGTATTGGAATGGATGTTAAAAGACTGAGGGGAGAGGACTAGAAAGTGGTTTATTTTTTCTGGAAAATAGTGTTTTATTTATGCTAGGTAGTACAGATAATTTGAAGGAACGATACATTCTAAGTAAGTCATTAAGCTAAGGAAAAAGGAAAAGTGGTGATACTAGATAAACCTTTAATACTAAACTAAGGGACTGACCCATTTAGAGTTGGACACTAATGAGTGCTGAGAGGGTTTTAAGTTACTTTCAGGACGCCTTTCTGTTTAGGGGTGTGTGTTTGTCCATACACATCTCTCACAAGCTGTTAACATCTACCAAATGGTAATGATTAGCATATCTCTTGCCACAGAGCAAATTACTTATATTAAGGGGGTGTCACAGCCAACATGGTAATAATCTGACTTTCTGTTAAGAAAGATTTCCTGACTGCAACTTGGAAACATCTCTGAAAATGACTGAGAACAGCATCTTAGAAATTCAAAGCCCTGTTTCTTTAGGCAAAGATAACCGGGCTTCCGGGAGAACCTTTAACCGTATATCCAATTACCTTTAGTGTTAGCACAAGGAAGTTACAAAATAATCCCTTTGAACCCATACCTCTATTCACTGCTCCTGGTTTACATGTAGAAAGTCTTCCTTCTACTCCGTGAACTGCTGTTTTGCAACATCGTTGCGTTTATTGAGAGTTTTTGGCTGACGGTGGTGGTAGGGAGCTTAGAATGTGTAGTGTTCACAAGCACAGTATGTTTCCCACGTTTAAAGACTGAGCAAGAAGGAATCGGCTTGCACGGAAAGGTGAGCACAGCATATTCTAAAGCAAATTTATACCTTCCACAAAACTGGGTATCTCAATAAGCACA